TATTTCAATTAAAATTATTGGATTTACTACAACGTTTACCAATTAAAGATCGAACAACAGTTATTAAAAATGGAATTATGGAACAAATTGAAAAGAAGATAAAAATGACCAAAGATGTAACAGATGAAAGTGACGATGTTGAAGGATTATTAGATTCAATGATCAAACATTTGGATAATAATATTGTTTTAAAATCATTGTAAATACAGATTTATAAAAGAAAAATCTATTCGAAATAGAATTTATAAAAGTTTATTTTTATTTTTAGTAATTTGTATACAACATGGATGTCAATGAAAGAACGTTTTATCATTCCAAAACGAAAAGAATTATCATCGAATTCTATCGATTCTCGTTATCATCATCGTTCTTCACTCACATCAAAATCTCATCATCATCACTCATATTATTCGCCTTATCCAGATGAAAATAGTGATTATGCAAGAGGTGGCTATAATTATCAATCTCGAAGTCGACGAAACGATATGTCATCGAAACGTACAATACCAACAATATCGTCATTGAAAGAAATGAATCAGAATAAAATGCTTAGTCAGTATCAACAACAGCAACAACAATTCCAACGAAAACTACCAGAAATGACTAAAGCTGAAAGAAGAAAATTATTTGAATTACAATATCAACAATCGTTAGAAGACGCGGAAAAAGTAAGAATATAGTGATAGAAGTAGAAAAAATGTTTAGTCTGTTGAAACAGTTAATTGATAAATCGTGTAAATACATATGTATCTTGCAGTACAATGTGAGAATGCATGAAACTTGTTGTGCATCTGAATAATTCACATGAGAATAAAAACATTACTTTCAGAATGGAAACGTAGAATCGATCCAGTTTCTACATTATCAATGACGGTTCAAATGATCAATACTGATTATTTCTTTCTTTTTTCTAGGCTAAAGCAGTTGCAGCTAGTACAGGAAGTCCTCAAAATGCATCAGGTAAAATTTTTGTTTACTATATTTTCTCGAAATTTAACTTTTTTAAATTCTTTATTATTTTAGCTTCGAATGAACCACCAAATAAAAAGCAACGTATAGCGGAAGATTTGACTGAAACTCCTACTCTTAGTGTAAGTTATTCTTAACCCTTTGGCGACGGGAAGCCCATATATAGGCAAATGTCGTAACACTACTGTAACTCAAGAATCATAACAGCTAGTGACTTCTAATTTTGTGTGGTCATAGTTCTTACCAAATGCTGATCATCCACCAAGTGTGGGTCTCTTTTACTCGATGGTTCGTGAGGTATAAGTGCTTTATTTCTTTTCCGTAAAATAGCAATAGCTCCTCATCTAAGAAAGATGAAAACTTTTTCTTTCTATCAAAATGTAGCCACGACTCTACTCTATCTACGATATGAATTTCGTGGGTTGGCAGTTAGTAGTCTGTGAAATACAGCTATTTTACGGATAAGGTTCGCGGTTTTTTGTTGAAACTTCGAGCTCCTTTTCGAAAAAAATTCACAACTCAGTCTAGGAGCATCATTTTGACTTCAAATTCGCATCAAAGGCTCTACAGCGTCTGTAGATTATCTAGCCAAAGTATGAAGATTAACTGCTGTGTGCTTCTGAAAAGTCATTGAGAACGAGCACCCACGATTGAAACATACGTAGAAGAGCGAGGGTGGCGAACTAAGGGTCGCTCTTTATACTGTCGAATCTGCATGCAATGTACATCATAATCATGAAAATATAATCATAGAAACCTATGATTCCGAAAAGCATATGAGAAACTTTTGTCAGAAAGATTACACACTCACCTCTGATCTTCGCCATTTCACTTATTTTGCGTCCTTTTCACTTCTCTTATATTTCAAGCAAAAGTAATAACATATTTGAGATCAGCAGACAAAACTGGGTCTAACAGCATACTTAACATTCGGTTTTTGAACAAACAAAATTTTATTGATAGTTTTCTCTCTAGTGGGAAGACCGGACGTATATATACGTCTCCCGTTGCCAAAGGGTTAAATACTGTTATTATTAACTATTTCATGATTTATTTATTATTTTAGTCAGTTACTTCAACACCTGTTACATCAGCGTGGCCACACTCAAATTATCAGGTAATTTATTAGGTGAATTGTTGCTATGTTAAGCATGATATTGAAAAGTGAGTTTTCGTTTAGATGTATGGTGGTATACATTGGATGCACAATTATCCAGGACAATCACAGCAGGATTATTACATGGGTTATATGCAAAATGTTGGTATGTAATGAATAATCGTATACTTGATCAAAAACACTATAATTCACTTATTTTAGGGCAAGCTCATACAAATTTAAGAACATCAGATGTGATAAATTCATTGGTAAGATAATATCATTTTTCTATGATGGTAGACAGTATTATAACAGTAGATTCTTTCATATAAATATTTGTTAACAACAAAGTATTTTAATAGACTTTGAATGTGTATCTTTCCTAAGTCCAATGTTTTCTTTTGTATTTAGTCAAAAGATGATGTTTATCCACCTCCTCCCCCACCTCCATTGCCAGAAGATGAATTAGAACTGGCAAAAATGATTCGTTTACCAGAAGCGTGGTGTGTAGCAATGACAGAGGATTCACGTGTCTATTTTTATAATCGTCAAACAATGCGTACTAGTTGGTTTCCTCCAGTAGCAACACCAACAAATGTTACACCGAAAACACCTCGTACACCTGTGAATACATCTTCGCCAATTCATCAAGACCAAGCAATCGTTTTAGCAGAAGAAACCACTACAAATCTTGCAGAAAAACCACAACAAAGTTCAGACGATCCAAGGTAAACCGGTTACTTGAAACTAACCGTCAGCCAGATAATGAATATATTAAATTAATCATAAATTTCGCAGAACTTTTAACGAATAACGTGCTAATGTTGATTTATCTGATTTTAGGATTCAACAACATCAAGAACAAATACTTTTGAGTCCTTTATCAGCTGCTCAATTGAATAAATCAATTACCATTTCATCAACCACGTCAGCAGCAACCTATTTAGCTAAACGCGCTCGAAAGTCAAAATCAAAATTATCCTCGTCACACAGACATCATCACCGCCATCACCATCGACGACATCATCGAAAACGAGAGTCAGTGCCACCACCACCACCACCACTAGTACCAGTACCAGTACCAGTACCAGTACTCCAAACAAATACATTGTCAAATGTTCCTCTATCGCCTGAATCTACAGAAACACTCCCACAGCAAGAACAAACAGAGATCATTGAAACTCAGCAACCAGTAACTTTGCCTACATCATCGTCATCATCTACTGAATTGGTTGAAAATAACACCGATAACACATCAGAAGCTGTAACCGAATCTGTGTCGACGGCAGTCACTATTCCTGAAGAAACCGCTTCAATTGTAACCGTGGAAGAAAAAAATATTGATATAGTCGATGAAGCAAATGGTATGAATGATGAATTAAATTCTTCAGCAACATTGATAAGTGCCAATCCGAATGAATCAACTGTTATCATGTCGACGTTAGATGATGAACGTAAATTTAAACAATCACGTGAACAATTGCGCATTAAACTATCAAAACTGGTTAGTCAACAACTAAAAGTTTATACGAAAAAACAATGTAAACAAGGTCGAATATGTTCACAGGAAGATTATAAATTTTTAATTAAAAAATTTACATTAGCAGTTCTCGATAAAGAACTGGAACGAGCTAAATTACAACAAGATTATGATTTGAAATTGTCGGAACGTGTACGAGTGAAAACAGAAGATTATGTTAAAAAATATATGTCAAAAGTTGGACAAACATTTCGTAGAAGACAACGTTCCGCGTCGGCGAGTAGTCGATGATAATTTTTCTCTCTGTGTCTATATCTATTGAATGAAATTTGTATTTTAACGTTTTTTTTACTATTTGTGTAGAATGAAATGATCATGTTTTTATGTGTGCTGTATTGTTTATTTTTTCACATTGTTGATCCTCATTGATGCCGACAAACGAGAAAGTGATGATGTTAGATACTTTTGAAATCGGGTATTTGTTCAAAATGCTTATTTTTTATACAGTGGTATGTTTTATGTAATTAGTAAAACTTACATTGTTTTCTTGTACTAAAATATTTCCTTATGAGTGTTCTTAAGTTCACACATTTTCTCTAATGGTACCATTTATCTGTTTTGAGCTAATTTGTATCAATGTAGGCGTTTAAATATACGCATCCGTGTGGTACCTAGTATTAGTGAGCAACAGTTTTCTCTAATTTCTGTGTATCAATTTGCGTTTCACTTTGATCTACTTAGAACAGCCTGTTTTCTGTTTCTCTTATTCACTTGTACTTTTCATGTATTGCGTACGATCAAAAAGTTTTGTAAATTTATTTATCCATCTGTGCTTTTTTCGTTTCTCTCAGACTTCATTGAACAAAGACAAAGCAGGACACGACGACGTAACAATATATATATCTATATATACACGTATATATATATATCTATATATTCATAGTCCCGGTGTGTGTCGAATAATGTCTAGAACCTATAATTTGAATGATGTTTGTCATTTTTGTTTTAATCATATTTTCTTTTCACACTTCTGAAAGTAACTTTGGTGACTGTGTCACGATTTGTGTTTGTATATACAAGTTGCCTCTCTCTCTTTTTCTCCCCTTTTCGTTTGATGTTTCTATCGAAATATCAGATAAACTAATTATTGGTTTTACATGCAA